CAATTTTTAGTAGTCAACTATATTGATTTTTTTTGCTAAAATAATCAAAAATCAACATAATTTGAATTGTTAAAAGTTTTAAAGCTCTTCATCGTAAAATTCTCATTTACATCAAGTCTCATCACTATTAATAATGAATCTCAAGTAACCTTCAAATTTGCATAAGCCAGGGCCAAGCTTTTTTGATTCAGAGATTATTCTCATTTGCATTCCACATTAAAAACATATATACTCTCACCACCATTTGCAATTTCTCAGTTAGAAATTATTTTCTTAAGAGTTTTTAGTGTTGGTTGTGTTTTTTTTTTTTGTTTTGGTTTGTTTTTTTCTTGTGTGTCAAAACTTACACTATTTTTTTTTTTTCAATCATTTGAGATTATACAAATAAACCAACCATTTGTAGTTTCCAAAAAAAAAAAAAAAAAAATACTAGAAAGCGGTCCGTTTTGGGAAGATGGTTTGTGGTAAAATAGTCACCAAAGATAAAAATAGGCCTATTGTAGGGGTGCCCTCTATTTACACACCACAAATTCCTTTCAATACACACCACTTACTCAATTTTCACACCATACACAAATTAAAAACTTTTTAATTTTATCTCAAATTCACACCACTAATTTTTGAATTGATACCAAATTTACCTTTCTTCTCCAATAACCCTAAACCCTAACCCAAATCCAAACCCTTTACCTACACAAAATTACCCTCTTCTTCTTCCAATTTGTATTGTATCCTTATGCTGCTAATCAAGTCTTAGGCATGTATAATTCCTTTTGTATTTTTCTTGATTGTGTAGCTGAGATGTTTCCCAGTTTATGGTGATCCATTTGTTCCAGTTCGATTCCTCCACATCCGATTACAGTTTGAAATGGGTTTTGAAACAAGCTTTCTTTCCATCAATACAGAAGAAATAACGAAGCCTTCATCCACTTGTTAGTGTTCCTTCCTTGTATAGCACCCAACACCATTCACATCAAACATCTTCTCGGGCAACTATGTCTGCGACAGCTTTATTGCAGAAAGCTGCGCAAAATCTGGTGCAACTTCTACTACTATGACCCATCATATTCTAGGAAGCTTGAGATTAGGTTGCAATAAAAACAACAATGAAGTTTAAAGAGCTGCAGTTGGTTGCGGTGTAGGACCTGCAGTGGTGTCAATAGGTAGTTAAGGGTTTTGTGATGGAAGGAGATGGCAATAGAGATGAGGGCAATTTGGATATTTAATGAAGGATAAAATTGTAATTAAAAAATTCATGAATAATGGTGTGAATTAAGGAGTAATTGAGGTGTGTAATGATAACCCCCTATTTTAGTCACAACAAACAAAATATCACATCCAACCATAATCATTACAATCTTCTCTCAACAAAAAAATCAAAATAGGCAAAAAAGCCAAAAAGTTCCTTCCCAAATCCAAGCATTTAGCCAGGTTAAAATAACCAAAAAACCAAAAAGCCAACAACATCCAAAACTAATACAAAAATGCAACATGGTAGCCGTTTGGTGGAACCAAACTTGAAAGCAATGTCAGACAGTTATCCAGAGGCCCCCGCCACCACCCCCCACGTGGAGCGCAGCAATAGGAGGATAAAAAAAAAATGGACCAATCACAATTCACTGGTGGTTGGGGTCACCCTAGTGGGTCTCACTCTTTTTACGGTCTTTTAAAAAAATCATGTAGACAGGGTCTTAAAAAGTGTACTCAATTTGAATGGCATAATCATCTATATAGAAGGGAAAAAGAAACACTTACATGGCCTTGACAAGGTCCTGTTTGGTAGTTA